TAGTAGCACATTGAAGACGCATCTACATTGTAAAAATAATGCAGTTTGACAACACTTTAACTGCCATGGCTCCATCCTACAAAATCCTGGGATGTGTAGTTTGTGAGGCGCCTTCACTCTTTGGCAGAGAGGGCTGAAGACCTTGTAATACTACAAGTCCCGTGATTCCATAGGTTGGAGCTACAGCACTTAAAGTGGTGTCAAACTGCATTATTTCTGCAGTGTAGATGCACCCCTACTCATGAAATGGAGGAGGAAAAAGTGTGACTATGAGCTTGACATGGTCATAACTACCCAAGATGCTCAGCCACAGGCAAGTATTTGTATGTCTGTGTGTTTGGGGGGGGGGGACTGTTTTCAAAAATTGTTCAGATATTGAAGCTGCTATTTGTCTCTGGGATATTATCATGGTAGCAGTGCTTTGAAGTTTGCAGTGGCTTCCTACCGTCTTCCAATTTAAGCTACTAGTCATCTTGAACTTCAGATACTCTTGATACCTCCTCTTTCCCTCTCATGCTGTCTCAAGTTATTAGTGTCTTTTTTGTTTGTAGAGTGTGCTTTATATGCGTCAGGTCCGTCAGTGGTTGCGTTTACTGACCAGTTGGTTATTTTAGCACTTTCACTTCCTCTTGGTTTTAGGCTGCCATTTGCATTTCCTAGCCATGTTACTCTTTCCCTTCTCCCTCCTCCTCCTCCCCACCACCACCGTTGCTATTTTCCTCTTGGCTCTTGGGTTTGTGGAGTGGATATAGGATGGGGAGGGAGAGCAGAAGGACCACTTTTAATAACATTGTGTTTCCAATGGCAATGTGCTCCAGTTCTCTGTGAAATATCACCTCTAAGGCATTCCTTTTTTTTTTTTTTGCTTGCCTTTTATTAGTGTAGTATTTTAGAACTGTCATCTAGTTTTGGGTTTCTTAAACTGTGAAGGATCAGCAATCCCCCTCTCCCCAGGTGTGATAGGGAGTAGTAGCACATTTATGCCCATTGCCTACAATTGCTTATTTCTTTCCTGGAAACTCTCCATGTTCCAGCACCCAGTAGCTCATAGACTGGCACTGGTTCAATGACCACCACTTTCAGTAGCATTTACCTAGTCTGAACCCTCAGCTAAGGATTGTTAATAGATGACTTCTAAGTCTGTTCCACTGTTAAATAGCTCTTACTTTCGAGTGAAGAGTGTAGGATATTATGAATTTTAAAAGGATTCTGGCGAGCTTCATATCAGTCTGTGTGTATGTGTCTCCAAGTTGCCTGTTGACTTATGGGGGACTCCATGAATTTCATAGAGTTTTCTTAGACAAGGAATACTCAGCACTGACTTTGCCAGCTTCCTCCTCTGAAACAGAGCCCACACCACCTGGTATTCATTGGTACTTCCCCATCCAGGTACTAACCAGATTTGACCCAGCTTGTCTTCCAAGATCAGACAGGATTGGTAACTTTGCTGTTGTTGTGTGCCTTCAAGTCGTTTCCAATTTATGATAACCCTAAAGTGACTCTATCATGGCTTTTCTTGGCAAGATTTGTTTAGAGGGGTGTGCTTTTGCCTTCCTCTGAGGCTAAGAGTGTACAACTTGCCTAAGGTTAACCGGTCAGTTTCTGTGGCTGAATAAGGATTTGAACCCTGGTTTCCAGAGTCCCAACGCTCAAACTACTGCACTACACTGACTCTCTTTAAAGTTTATCAATATGGAGACCCAAAAACACTGCTTAGAGTTTTTTCCTAAGACATCTGGTTGGCCTCTGGGAAGGAGCTAGATGGACCTTTAGGTTGATCATCTTATATTCTTACATAACTTTCTTTTGTTTTGCTATGATTTCTTTGCAGATTGTACTAGTTGCCCCAAGCCTATATGATAAAAGATATAAAATAAATGCATTAGCTGTGCTGTCCCAGGAAACTACTTTTGTATTTTTGTTGATCTTCTCTGTAGTTTGTTTTATCCATCCAGTTTTTCCTCCCTGCCTTCCTCCCCATTATCAGTGTTGAACTGGTTATTTTATTTTTTTATCAGCTCATTCAAAATTAAAAAAAAATGCAGTGTGGATCTTAAAAGGTTGTAAGAAGGAAAACTAGCACTAGCTTTAAAAATGTGCTGGAAGATGAAATCCTAAACACATTTAGTTTGGAAGAGAATTACAGTGAAATTATTGGCAGTGACATCTAAGACAGTACGGTGGCTGGGGTCCAAACTGTGCACACAGAACTATGGGCAGCCCAGGGTATTATTATTATTACTCTTCTTGGAAAAATAATCTACCATGCCATGCCATGATCTACCACTGAGGCCTTCCCCTCCCCAAAATTTCAAAAGAGGGTTGCCATGTGGCAAGTTAGGCACATTTTTAGTCATTACTATCTCTCAGTATTAGGAAGAAATTGCACTGATGGTACGGTCAACATCTTGGAACTGAACCAAAGCACTTTGATTTTCTTTTACTTATTTTTTCCTTGTAAGATTTTTTTAAATGTTATGCTTTATATTACATTTTGTGTCTTTAAGATGTGTTTTATGACTTTGCCCATCACCTATTGGGCATTACGGAAAATTACCCGTTGCCTCTTTTTTCATCATTGGTTTTTGGGCTAATTGCTTCCAAATGAAGAAGCATATATTTAGAAGTATTTGTGCAGATGTCTACTCAGAAAGAAATCCTAAAGAATTCAAAAGGCTTACTCTGAGGTAGATTTATATAAGATTGCAGCCTAAATAAATGACATCTTTGTTCACGCTCAGATAAAAAGACTTTTAACACATTTCACAGATTTCAGTATAAAACCTTGATCATTAAAAATAAAATTAACAAATTCTCACCCAATTATGGAATTAATTTGTCTTGCATACAATAATACTTGTGTGCTATTAATAGAATACAGTAAATTGCTTGCATTAGAACTGTGAAGTCATTTAAGGAAGCAAGAAATGCTTTTTTCCTGGGCTAAAGAGAATCCTGTGGAAGAGCTTTAAAAGTTCTTTGAACTGATGTTCCATTCTTGGTCTTTTAAAAATTATTATTTTGATCTTTGTCTTTGGGAATAAGAATATCTTGACTGTCATAAGCAATATGGTCAGTTATCCTCATGTTGTAGAACAGCTGCTGTTTAAACTTACATCAAAAGCTACTATGGCAACTAGGATTCTTGGGCAGTAATTCCTGTTTCCTTGGTACAAAAAATTAACAAAATCTCTTAACTTGATCCTGGATTGTTTGTTAATTTCACCTCCCCCATTTATTTTTGTTTATTAATGGGTCTTTATGGAACTGAAGAAACTAAAATAGATAAGCCCCTATCCCCAAGAGGTATTAATTTCACAGTCTAAAGTGGAAGCAGGGATAAGAGAGGAGAGGAAACCCAAGGTAAGAAGTCCTTAATGTAAGGAAATCCAGATATAAATACAGTCAGTCCTCCATATCCACAGATTCTGCATCCATGGGTTCCACCATCTATGGCTTGAAAATATTCCAGTGCCCCTTCGCAAACCTTGATTTTGCCATTTTATATAAGTGACACCATTTTACTATGTCATTTTATATAATGATACTTGAGCATCCATGGATTTTATTGTCCATGATGTATGTGTGTGTGTGTGTGTGTTCTGGGACCAAACCTCTTTTCTAACATGATACCAAGGGCCCACTATATTTAACGGGTTACTTTTGCAAACAAGGTTTAATGGATTTGAAAGTGAGCACTGTCAGTGATGAATAAGACAGTGGAAGATAATATACCCCCTACCTGGGGTCAAGCTAATATAGCTTTGATCCCGAAAGAAAAGAAGGACAGACATAATATTCAAAATTATAGACCTATATCGCTTTTAAATTGCGATTATAAAATTTTTGCAGGCGTATTGGCAACAAGATTAAAAGCTGTGTTAAAAGACTGGGTTAATGAA